TCAAATTTTGTTATTGTTCTCAGCACATAAAAAAAAATTGTCTAACAATGTCCTGATCCCCAAATGCTGTGAGCAGGCGGTAAATTAGTACCCAGGATAAGCCACTTTGGACAGCCAATAGGAGGAAGCTCTGCAGCGTGTAAGGGGCAGAGTTATCTAAGTCCTGTGGAATTTTTTCATAGGGCTTTCTTACAATCTCTGCTGCTGGTCTGGTGGGAGTAAGAACAAATTTGTGATACCATTTCCTGAGAAAGTAGCATATGGTATTATCTTGTTCCTCACAAGATCTGTGAGGCCTAAACACAGAACTGGAGGCTTGCTTTGCCGCCCCATCGGGCAGTTTTTTCCTAATGACTAAGGATCGGTCGCAGGCATATTTGACAGCCACATTTTGCTCACCTGGCTCCTTTTGTCAGATTCATCGATGTAGTGATGCACACTTGTATAAGTACGCCTTAACTTATGTATTATGTCTTTAAACTGTTCGTTATTCATTTGTCAATGAATGTGGATGGAGTATTTAATTCAGCACCACACACTATTTTCAATCCTTGTCATGGACAAAGTGGTTGGTTACAGGCACGCACTGGTGGTGAGACTTGTGGAATTGACCTCCCCTGAGCCAAGACCCCAACAGTCTTAGCATATTGTCCAGTATTTTCCTTCAATGAGACATGTTGATATACCAGAGGTCAAACAGCACATTCCCACCAAAGTTGATCATAACCAAAATAAAAACACTAGTAGTTCATTGACTTGTTGATCATAAGATTGTCTGCAATGGGTGACACAGGCCAAGCAAGTTTCTCTTAGTCTCTGAACATCACTATCTGTCTGTTGGAAAAGACACCCCGTTCTATTCACAGAGCACCTTTCACTTGCTGGTGATCTGTGCAAGTTAAAGAGTAAAGGGCAGGAGCGGCCAGGGGAACTTCTCCAAACTTCTCTGCTCTGGGTGAATGGGAAAGCAATTATCTTCTGCTTTCCCGTTTCCCCACCACCAGCATGCCCCCTTGCCTGTAGCAAAATTCCCTAGCCTCAAAGAAGGGCAGTACCTACACGTGGGTACATGTTCCCCTTGGCCTCTAAAAGGGCTCACTACTTGTCCACCACCCCTCCTCAGGAGGTTACCTTTTTAAACATCCGGGTGGAATCCTCGCTTATCTGCATGAACCGCATGATCACATTGTTCAGGTAGATGTCACTCAAGGTTGCATGATCTTTGCTTTCTCGCCTCACTTGGTTCAGGAGTAAATACCAGCAGTTCACGGGAGACAAGAGGTTCTGGTCCTTCCTGAAGAAGTGAAGACACACACAGTCACCACCGACACAAAGATGCCTCCATCAGCTGATGAAGTAATCAAGGGAACTATGGGGCCACAACAGTTGAGTCCTGTCATGGGGTCTTTCTCAGACCAGGACCCTCAAGAGCCCACAGAGTACTTTTCCAAGTTGTGGATGGCAGGCACAGAGCTAGCAATTCTCCAGGAATGGATGGAAAAACGTGGTCCCCAAGCCCCATCCAAGCCCACTTGCCTGCCTTCTATCCACTGCTCGCTCTTCTGACTGTGGTTCACCGATGCACAGTCTACTTGGAATGTTCACTCTGTTGTTGGGGAGGTGGGGAAGAGGCGGTAAAAGTGGCTAGCTAGGCTTTTTAGGGGACATAATTTGGGGATTACTTATTAATCTCCTGATATATATCACATAACCTGGTGGCATAGTGGGTTATATGTCAAGCGACTAACCACAAGGTCAGCAGTTTGAACACACCAGCTGCTTCTTGGGCAAAAGATGAGGCCAACTGCTTCCATAAAGATTACGGCTCAGAAACCCTATGAAGGATCTCTCTGAGGTGGGATTCCTTTAGTTGGTTTTGTTTGAGTCGAGAGCCTCCCAGAAAGGGTCCCTGGGAATCTAAACTTTCCAGCATTGCCTTAAGTCTCCTGAATGGAAACAAGGTTTGCTGGCTTATGTTCTATGTAAATCCATGAAATGATTTCGTGTTCATGATTTCTCCTGGATTTATTCTGGAGAATAAAATTAAAATGGATATGAATCACAAAAAAAGACTCATGATTCCATGATACCTAGAATAGGCAAAAGGAGACAGAGTAGATTAGTGGTAGTCGAGTGGGGGTGGGAATGGGGAATTATAGATGAATGGGTACCAAATTTCTATTTGACATGATGAAAAGTTCTAGAAATAGATAATGGTGCAGGTTACCTAACACTGGGAAAGTAATTAATGTAGTGAATTATGCCCTTTAAAATAGGTTAAAATAGCACATTTTATATGATATAGATCTTTACCAAAATAAAAACTTTTAAAACTGACTATATAATAGCAAAATGACCAAGAATATTTGCCTTAACTGAGGGAATGAGGTCCACTTAATCAGACATTGCTATCCTTCAGTTTTTCATAGTCATCTATAATCCTCGGATAGTAATAAAGTTAGAAAAACGATCAAGTCAGGTCTTTCTGCCATTAAGACTCTAAGATCCAAAATTTAACACTGCATCAGTTCAGAACCCTTTCCAGAAGCAAAGGGAAGTAAAGGATGGGAGCAGGCATAAGTGTGAAGGACACCACTTTAGGGTGCCAGCACTTGCACTAGCTGAGCCCCCATTATCTCCACTGCATGCTCTGAATCACACTTACACCTAGGAACTCACCCTCTTTCCTCAAAGCCCTCAAGCAAGGACAGTGGTTCTGTGGCAGGTAAACTCGGGCCTTTCTACTGACATGCTTTGTCTACCCAACAAGGACAGTGGTTCTGTGGCAGGTAAACTCGGGCCTTTCTACTGACATGCTCTGTCTACCCAAACATTAAGAGGTTAAATGTTACCTTTTTTACAGTAACCTTTAAGGGCCCCTGGTAGTGCAATGGTTCCAAGTTTGGGTGCTAACATGGCATGCAGAAGGTCAGCAGTTCAAACCAACCAGCCACTCCGCTACAGAAACTTGTGGCTGCTTGCTTTGGTAAAGATGTACAGCCTTAGAAACTCCATGGGATGGCTTTGCTCTGTGCTACAGGGTCACTATGAAGGAATCTAGTCCAGGGCAAGGGATTTTGGGGGGTTGGGTATGTTAACTTTCATGTGTGTTATTCGTTATGCTGAAACAGCCCTAAATTCTTTGACTTTTTAAAATTTCTCTTTATTTTTATTCTTTTGATCATTTTATTGAGGGCTCTTTCAACTCTTATTACAATCCATACATCAATTATATCAGGCATATTTGTACATATGCTGCCATCATTCTTTTCTAGACAATTACTTTCTATTGAGCCCTTGGTATCAGCTTCTCTCTCCCGCTCCCCTTAATAGATTATAAATTATTTTTATTTTTGTATCTCACACTGACCGCTGTCTCCCTTCCCCCACGGTTTCTGTTGTTCTTTCCCTTGGTGGTG